TTTGTTTTCTTTGTACAGTATATGTTTTATGTGGTTTTAATAATATTTTGTAAGCTACCCAGAGTATTGGCATGTTCAGTAAATGGGTGAGGTATAAATCTTAACAAACAAACAAACAAATAACAGATTTTCAACAAACATTTGGTTCTCTCTCTCTCTCTCTCACACACACACACACACACACACACACACACACACACACACAGAGAGAGAGAGAGAGAGAGAGAGAGAGAGAGAGAGAGAGAGAGAGAGAGAGACTCTTTTCAGAGAAAGAGCCATTGAACAGAAGAAAAAGGCTTTGGTTTGTATGGGCTAATATGAGTGCAGTCAGTGGTTTTAAACACCAATTGTACAGAAAATAGTGACAACAAAATAAAAATACAGTAGTTTAATAATCCCTCATATTGGGAAATGATTAGTGAGAAATTCTCTTCTTTTGTTCTGAAGTAAGGACTATATTCTCTTTTCAGACTGCTAAATCATTAACAGAACGTGGAACCAGCTGACCAAATTCAGTAATATAGTTGTATAGGATTGTCAAGACAGGATAAACAGAAAGCCAGCTTGGGGTTGGTGCACAGGCTATCAAATTTAAAAAAAAACAGTTTTAAAGAGTGGACATTAAAGAGGGTGAAGATGAAAGCCAAAATCAAATAACAGACTAAATTCCTACTGGGTCATAAATCAGGGCAAAGACAAAGAAAAAGAAGGTTCAGCAAGCCTGGTTCAGATTACCAAGGAATCACAGAAATGTAGGCTAACAAAATGCTGCATTGTTTTGAGGAACTGCTGTTGGATCAAGCAGTATAAAAATGTGATTAGGCATCCTTCAGTCTGTATGGAGGTCTTGGAACAGCGTCTAGTGTGGCTGAGAAGGCTAATTCGAGAGTGACAATCCCTTCCACACTGAAGACAAATACAATCTGTCCCTGTCCAGCTCCCTGGTTTTGCTGCTTTTGTGACTTCCTCTTTGCAGTATAAAAATATGACTTAGCAATTTCCTCTTGCAGTTGCAAATGCTTAGGAAAGCTTAGTTTACTCCCAAACATCTTCTACCCAGGCCTTACCTTCATTCTTATCTGAGATAAATGGACCCGTATCTTTAGATGTCTTCTGTCCCTTGGGCTTGGGGTTGCCCTGCTTCAAAATGTACCACTAAGTTCTCCCCATTGGGAGGGAAAGGATCCTCTGCCATTTCACCAAACGGCTGAGGCTCTGCTTTGACTTCTAATCACGTCATATTTCTGGAACCATCGTGGCAATGTTAGACGATAATTCTGAACCCACTTACCTAGACACAGGCCTCTTCAATACAGTGAGGTTTCTGAGTAGCCGTGTATACATATTATGCTGTTAGCCTTTTATATCACCTAGGATTTATTTCTTTTTCTTCTAGGTAATGCAACTAATTTTGTTTAAACAACCACGTTAATTGATCTCCCCCCCCCCTTGTTACTGTAAGGCTGATAATTACATCTGCTTCCAATACTATCAGGAAAATTCATCTAAAATTTTCTGGGGGTGTCTCACTTCAATCCCATAGAAATTTACAGGGCAATAAATTCCAGAAAACTAGTGGAGTTTATTTGTAACCACAAGCAATGCATGCATATATGTCCCAGATGGGTGATTTTATTGGGGGGAGGGATTTTAGGGTTTGTTTGTTTTCTTTGTACAGTATATGTTTTATGTGGTTTTAATAATATTTTGTAAGCTACCCAGAGGATTGGCATGTTCAGTAAATGGGTGAGGTATAAATCTTAACAAACAAACAAACAAATAACAGATTTTCAACAAACATTTGGTTCTCTCTCTCTCTCTCTCACACACACACACACACACACACACACACACACACACACACAGAGAGAGAGAGAGAGAGAGAGAGAGAGAGAGAGAGAGAGAGAGAGAGAGACTCTTTTCAGAGAAAGAGCCATTGAACAGAAGAAAAAGGCTTTGGTTTGTATGGGCTAATATGAGTGCAGTCAGTGGTTTTAAACACCAATTGTACAGAAAATAGTGACAACAAAATAAAAATACAGTAGTTTAATAATCCCTCATATTGGGAAATGATTAGTGAGAAATTCTCTTCTTTTGTTCTGAAGTAAGGACTATATTCTCTTTTCAGACTGCTAAATCATTAACAGAACGTGGAACCAGCTGACCAAATTCAGTAATATAGTTGTATAGGATTGTCAAGACAGGATAAACAGAAAGCCAGCTTGGGGTTGGTGCACAGGCTATCAAATTTAAAAAAAAACAGTTTTAAAGAGTGGACATTAAAGAGGGTGAAGATGAAAGCCAAAATCAAATAACAGACTAAATTCCTACTGGGTCATAAATCAGGGCAAAGACAAAGAAAAAGAAGGTTCAGCAAGCCTGGTTCAGATTACCAAGGAATCACAGAAATGTAGGCTAACAAAATGCTGCATTGTTTTGAGGAACTGCTGTTGGATCAAGCAGTATAAAAATGTGATTAGGCATCCTTCAGTCTGTATGGAGGTCTTGGAACAGCGTCTAGTGTGGCTGAGAAGGCTAATTCGAGAGTGACAATCCCTTCCACACTGAAGACAAATACAATCTGTCCCTGTCCAGCTCCCTGGTTTTGCTGCTTTTGTGACTTCCTCTTTGCAGTATAAAAATATGACTTAGCAATTTCCTCTTGCAGTTGCAAATGCTTAGGAAAGCTTAGTTTACTCCCAAACATCTTCTACCCAGGCCTTACCTTCATTCTTATCTGAGATAAATGGTCCCGTATCTTTAGATGTCTTCTGTCCCTTGGGCTTGGGGTTGCCCTGCTTCAAAATGTACCACTAAGTTCTCCCCATTGGGAGGGAAAGGATCCTCTGCCATTTCACCAAACGGCTGAGGCTCTGCTTTGACTTCTGATGGTCTCACAGGGAGCTTCCAGCCAGGGACTCAAGTTTGGCTTCTCATGCAGACCTTTACAGCTGCAACAAGCAATCTGTGACCTCTTCTGAGGAGGATGACTAGTTGAAAGTGAATATGATTATTATATGTTTTATGATGATGTTCGGAGTGAATTTATGAAAAGAATACTTGAAAACCAAATTAGGAATAATAATAATAATAATAATAATAATAATAATAATAATAATAATAATAATAATAATAATAATAATGATGAGGATGATGAGGATGATGAGGATGATGAGGATGAAGAAGAAGAAGAAGAAGAAGAAGAAGTAATTAAATTAGTTCTGATATATAGTGAATCCTTCCAGAGTATTCTTGGTATAGAATACTCAGAAGTCTTTTACCATTCCCTTCTTCTGAAAGTGCTCTGAGACCAAGAGTTTTCCCCAAGATCATACAGGCTGACTCTTCTCCTACAAGGAACCAGAACTGAACCCCTAACCCCTGAAATAACTGATTAAAATCAATGTGTTCTTTACTCATCCTAGGTTCCTGTGGACCACCTCCAAAACTGAAAAATGCCATTCCACTTATAGAAACTGACGGAAAAAGCTTCCCTCTCTTCCACTCAGTAATCTACAAATGTTTGGATGGTTTTTATAACATCCATGGAAAACTAGATGTTGCAACATGCATTTCTGATTCACAATGGACACCCATAGAAGAGTTTTGTGAACGTAAGTTGTTCTTCTTTTTCCCCACTGTACCAAGATGGAAATTATTCCAGTTTGAAATATATTTTGGATGTTGGCATCCAACAGACTTGTAACAGGCTTTGCATGTTTAAAATGTACAGTATATAAGAATAATTGTTGGTATTGTGAAAAACCACATGCAGATTATATGCATGTATTTTGGAACTGTGAGGAGGTACTTTATGCCATAAGGCAGACTACACCTCCCTTTATAAAGATGGATCAGTGCCCATCGATTAACCACAAACCCGTTTCTTCAAGGGGAGTGCAAGCCCACCTCTGTTTACCTATATCTACTACTTTTTGCTCTGCATGAGCAAGGGAATATCTGACAAGAGCTGCCAATAATGCCTCATTTCAAAACTCATGGTTCCATGTAAATATTAAAAAAATAGGGGAACAGATTAGAACTTTCTGTGAGCTCTACTGGATTGCTAACACAAAAGTGCTTCCAAAAGTGGTAAATCACCTGCCCCAATTTTGCTTCAGTTTGTCATGGGACTTACTAGGACTCATTTCTATATTACAATAGAGAGAAACCACTGAATTCAGTAGTGGGCAAACAAGGAGGAAACATGTAAGCAAGCACACCCTGTTTTGGGGGCTTACTGCATGTTTCCATGTAAAAAACAACACTTAGACAAAAAATTAAGGGTTCTTTTATACATGGAAGGCAGCCACTTTTCCTGCCTTTTGCGAAGCCATAGGACTTAGCAAAAAGGAAAGGAAGGCTCCCTTTGGGTAAAGCAGCAATGAAAGGGCTGCACGATCACAGCCCTTTGATCCTGAAGCCCTTTCATGGCTGCTTTACCCACTTCCTAAGCCCTCTTTGGCAAAGCTCATTTATTAATTTGAGGCTTCCCCACATATGATGGGCAGTGAATTAAAAACTCTGCTTTCAGGTTGTCTCTGAGCTTTTGCATACAAAGGAGAGAGATTTGAATCAAATGAAGTTGTTCTCAGAAGTGAGACTGGCTTATCATCTGGTTATATGTAATACAATATAAACCTTACTAATGAATGTGTGTTCTGATTTACCTTACAAACTTCAGTGTGTTTTAACTCTCATTGATTGATTAGAACATCCTTCTTTCAATGTAGTGCTTACAGTATAGATGAATCATAGGTAAATGGCAAGGAATAACTCACAAAGGTTCAGAAAGAGTGGGATAAAAATGCAGATAAAAGCTCTCAGATATACTTGAGTTCGGACCACCATCAGATTGTTCTTTGCTGTTCTCATGTCAGTCTGTACTGATTTGGGAGGTTATGGAAAAAAGTGTTGTGATAGACTGAAAATGTGATATGAAATACTTTGTTTGAAAAGTTAAGCCTTTACTTCCATGTCCCTTCTGATTTTGTTGCCAGCTAGTTGCAGTAGACCACCGAAGTTCAAATTTGCTAAAATAAAACCGGGGGAAAGGAGGAATTATTTTCCTGCAGAGACCAAGGTCAACTATATCTGCAGTCCAGGTTATGTTTCTATTCCTGGAATCAATTCGTCTGTTACATGTCTTGAAAATTACACCTGGACAGCACTCCCATTTTTTTGTGAAGGTCAGTATTTTATTGCCTTGGTTAATTTTTTAATATTGTGCAACTGTTGTTTGTATTCGTCATGTCTTCAGAAATATGTATTTCGTAGTTATGTTAGTTTGTTATATTTTTCAGGGGTTTCTGGTTGTTGATATACTATTTATATATTGTTTTCACTGACTTTTGAGGCTAATACACAGAGTATATGTGTATGTGGTTGTGCAGTATATATATGATGCACAATTAGTGCAGTTTGATTCCGCTTCAACTGCCATTACTTTATCTAATGGAGTTCTGGGATTCGATGAGGTACAGTGGTTCCTTGATTTACGAATGCCTCGACGTACAAACATTTCGACTTACAAACAGCTCCATTCGTAAAATTTTCTTTGACTTGTGAACGGAGCTTTGACTTGGACTTTGGACTGAAATGGACTTTAGACTGCCTGGTACTGTAATTTTAAAATGTAAAAATTGATTTTAAAAGTACTTGGTTTGGTTTAAAGCTGCATGGTTTTAAAGGTGTTCTGTTTAAATGGTGTTCATTCCCTCCCTCCCTCCTTTCCTGCCCCCTTTTTTTAACCTAAGTCATCTTAGGTCAAAAGAAGAAAAAATATTCCCCTAGTGGTAGAGGATGGATTAACCGGTTTTGCATTAGTTCCTATGGAAAATAATGCTTTGACTTACAAGTGGGTTTTGCATTAGTTCCTATGGGAACTAATGCTTTGACTTAAAGCGGCACCTCCACATATGAACAAAAAACAGCCAGAACAGATTAATCGGGTTTCAATACATTCCTATGGGAAATGCTGATTCGACTTACGAAAATTTTGACTTACAAACTTCTCCTGGAACGGGTTAAGTTTGTAAGTCAAGGCACCACTGTACTTGGACTCCTGTGCAAGGGAGCACTAGTGTCCTCCCTTGAATTCCTGCAGAGAATTTTGAATACCTCACCCGTTAAAGAACACAGGATTCCATAAGATTAAGCCGTATCAGTTACAGTGAAAGCAAAATGCTATAACTATATAGCGTAGATACATTCATCATATACTTTAGTTTGGTTGTTATAATTGATTTTAGTTTTTTCTCCATCTTCTTGTTTTGTCTTCACATTGATTTTAAAATTGTTTACAGATTAGTTGTGAGCTACTTTGAGCACCTTATTTTAAGGCAAAATCTTCATAGAATAAAGTTTCAAAAATAAAATCAATCAAGATCTTAAAATATAGCGTAGATACATTCATCATATACTTTAGTTTGGTTGTTATAATTGATTTTAGTTTTTTCTCCATCTTCTTGTTTTGTCTTCACATTGATTTTAAAATTGTTTACAGATTAGTTGTGAGCTACTTTGAGCACCTTATTTTAAGGCAAAATCTTCATAGAATAAAGTTTCAAAAATAAAATCAATCAAGATCTTAAAATATTGAGCCAAATATCTTGTTCATTACTGAACTAGATAATAGATAAACACCAATTTTATAGACATAACTACACACAAACATGGACTACAAAGCATGCTTAAGGCCATTACTTTCAGTGACCTTAAACACACATAGCACTTCATTATATTATAGACAGGGCCTTTTCTGTGAGATATATTCTCACAGATGTGCTGATAGAAAGAAATGTTTCAACTTTAAAAATGACATACAGTATTTCAATTTTAAGGGCAAATTGTCTAGCATTATGAGTAATTGAGCAGGGAGGCAGGCCACAAGCTTTCTTTCTAGTGTTTTAATTTTGGGACATGATACTTAATAAATGAAATTGCTCATTAACATCATAACTACTGTATATAACTCTCATATATTAGCTCTCAATGCTTTTTTTTCTCTCTCTAGGAAAATCATGTGGTGATCCAGGAGAACCAAAACATGGTGGAGCTGTTATACTAACTAATTTTTTGTTTATGGCAAAAGTAAATTTCACCTGTGATGAGGGGTATGTATTGAGATTTATTTCCTCCCTCCTTGCCTGACTATTGTATTTATATGTTGACTTTCTCCTGCAGTTTGGACTAAGGTAGCATACAAAACAGTAATAGAAAATTAAATACAATAGAACTATACATGTTAAAGTATAATTAAATCCACTAAGATGTTAATTAAAATAAAAACACTAGATTATTTGATTAAACATGTAGATGCTAGTTTATCTTTAAAAAGAGAACCAGCACATTAAGTGAAATCTTGCTGTAGGCAGCTCATTTCTGAAGGCCTACCTGAATGAAAAAAGCCATTGCTTCCAGCTGGAAAAATAAGAGGGAAGAGGCAAAGTTGGCCTCTCTTGGCAAGGAGTTCCACAACCTGAACATGGCCACCAAGAGGGACTTCTCTTGAATCCCCACCAAATGGGCCTCTGAAAGCGGTGAGACATGAACAAGACCTCTTCAGCAGATCTTAAAACCATGGCAGGCTTGTATGGGAGGAAATCGCTTTTCAAATAAGATACAGCTTTTATTAATAAAACATAATTATTATACAAAATGTGTGGCTTAGATCCAGATTTAGTCATCTTTGAGTAGTGCACAATTGTCTATGGGAGGGATCAAGTAGAAAAGAAAACCATCACATACCTGATTTTCACCCCCTGACTTCTGAAGACTATTCTAAGACACCCTAAAGATTTGAAGCTGTTTCTGCTTGGAGTAGAATAGGCAAGCAAAGAAAGCTGAATGAAGATGGGCTAGTTTTTTTGAATGTCTGAGGAAGCTCTTGATAACACATGCCTAGTTGCACCATGTCTGGAATATTGTAATGCACTTTATGTGGGACAGCCTTTTGAAGGTATTCAGAAACTTCTGCAGGTCCAAGTTGCTGCAGTCAGACTGTTGACTCAAGTTGGGTAAAGGGAGAACAATAACACCTTGTTGCAACAGCTTCACTGGTTGCTAGTCTACATACAGATGATATTTAAAACCTGATATGACTTTGGTTCGGACTCTTTGAAGTACTGTATCTCCCCATATTGTACTCCCTGGGTTTAAAGATCTTTGGGGGGCATTCTTTCAGTCCCACCATATTTTCAGATACATATAATTAGGAAGCAAGAAAGCACTTTTTTGGGGGTCTGCTCCTAAACTATGTAACCATATTTCAAGGAAAGCAAGGTTGGCCCTTTCCGTGTTGTGTTGTAGAAAAAGATTTGCTGGCTTATTGCTGAGCAGGTCCCAAGCCATCTACATTTATGCAAAGAATACAACATAAAACTTCATTGGAGAGAGAAGGCCGCGATTTTATTGGTTATAGCTGCAGTCTGTGGCTCAACCTTGGGGTCAAATCCAATTCATTGAGAGGCCTGAACGCCTCCCCTGATGCTCCTCATTCTCTGCTTCAGCAGCTGCTGAAGATTCCACCAGGAGTGGCAGTCCTCTGGAACCAGGTGGGCATATGCCACTCCACGACTCTCCACCCCCTAAGGGTAGGGCAAGGCCCGTGAGCTATTGTGATATGCTTAATTGAGTTTTAATATGATAACTTGTTGTGTTTTTAGTAATCTCTTTTAACCATTTTGTAAGCTGCACTGAATCCATATATGGGGGGGGAGGTGGAAAATAAAATTTAAAACGAAAAAAAGTATGTTTTGACTAAACCTCACATGAAGTGAAATTAAAGATGGCAGCATGCATTCTTTTTTCACTAAGCATCAGGAATTGTTTGATCCTTTAAAGCTCTGGCATTAGCCATGTTCTTTCAGGTTTTATAACTGCTATGTTGCTTTCAGTTCATGTGCATCTATCTCATTTCTACTCATTTTTAAATATCTACTAAAAGAGTAACTAACCAAGACCAAAATTACAATGTAGGGACAACTACATTACAATATATGCTACAAGGATTGTGCATTCATATTACTGTGTTTTCCATGTATAAGACTACAGTATACTTTTCTCTAAAATCTTTAGACTAAAAATTGAGGGTCGTCTTATACATGGAAGTAAGCTGAGGAGAGAACAAACACAAGTGGAGGGGAAATCAGGGATCAAAGTGATCATGCAGGGCTTTGATTCCTGCTTTCCCCTCCACTTGCTAAGCCTTAGCAAAAGGAAAGCAGGGATCGAAGTGCTGCAGGATGGCTTTGATCCTTGCTTTCCCCTCTGCTGATCAAGTCCCATGGGGTTTAGGAAGTGTAGTGGGAAAGGGTCAAAGTGATCCTCCAGTGCTTTGATCCCTTTCCCCCTACACTTGATAAGTCCCACTTAGATTTCTTAAATTTGGGTTAGAAAAGTGGGGGCATTTTATACATGGGGGCGTCTTATACACAGAAAAATACAGCAACATTTAAAGTAATGGCTTAAATTTTGAAACAAAGTTTAATGTAAAAAAAAACAACCAATCTAAGAAAAGAGCCAATTATGGTATTTGCTTGATGACGTAATGTTCAAAATGATAAGCCTTTAAAATCTATGGAACAATGGGATAAGAACCTTCCCTTTGCTCTTTTTCTTTTCTTTAGGTATAGGTTAATTGGCTCACCCTCTACTGAATGCATACTGAAAGAAGATGAAGTTGAATGGAAAACAAAGCCTCCTGAATGCCGAGGTAAGCTTGTTTCGGTGTTTTGTAGCAAGCACTGTCCCAGAATTTGCATTAACCCAGAATTTGCATGGGATTTATTTATTTATTTATTTATTTATTTATTTATTTATTTATTTATTTATTTATTTATTTATTTATTTATTTATTTATTTAGCGTTTACCCCGCCCAACTAGATTCAAATCAATCTACTCTGGGCAGTTTACAGTCTGAGCAATATAAACAAGAATTAGAAGTTCTGGGCTCTGCAGAAGGAATTCGAGCTGCAACTTCCAGTTTTCACACCTCCAAAAACTGAGTTAAAGCTGGCTTGGGGCACAATTGCAACATTGCCTCCTCCCAAATAGTCCTGGGTGTTTTCCACTTGTGCAAGATGTTGCAGGGGAGATAGATATGTATTCAGTTTGCTGTGAGATACTGCATTTTCTGACTTCAGCTGTGAATCCCATTGTATTATAGATGGTGGTTACAGTCCTGACACCCTTGAGTGACTAAAAATGTTCCATCTTAGTGCGTAAGGATTCTCTTTATTCAAAATTATAAGCCTTTAAAATTTTCTCTTCTTTCTCTTCACACGCCCACTCATCTTAGCTTTGGCAGTACTGTATTTGCTTTTAATTAAACTCTACTTTCATCTGTTTTGTCCATTCTCTCTAGCTGACTCCTTCAACTGGAATCCACTCACTTTTGACTCCCACATTTGTTGTTTGAAGTTGAAGCTTAAGTCTCATTATAAATACTATATAACATCAACAATTTTCGCTATTTTAAACATTAGGATCTGAATATTTGTACCTTTCAATTAGATGGGATTATTCATTCAGGTGAAACAACTAAAACACATTCTGTTTCTTCCAAAGGAACATTTTTATCTCAGTACTTCTGCATATTCTTAGTCAAGCAGTGGTTAATTAATATTTCTTTCTGGACTAGCACAATTATGAGCTCATTCCACCCGCCACTCCCCATTTATGCTCTTTTTTCTGCTTTATGCATCATCAAATGTTTCCATGTATATTTATTTAGAAGCTTATATAAAAAATAGATTTACAGCATAATGAAAAAATTAAGGATGGCTATATTGTGCTCTTTCATCTTGTGGATAACGGCTGATCTTGAGGTCCTATGGTAACATTTTTCATTCATGCTTCCCAAACAGATAGGATTCCTTTGTTCACAGGAGAAATGGCAAAATTTTATATTATTGGGGTTATATGGGGCAGAACCATAGATAGTATGTACCCAGAATGCTAAAAGTTTGTGTTTTATTTTAAAATCTCATACAAACTAATTCATATCTCACCCTTCTTCACCTTTTTTAAAAAAATTCTTTAAAATGTTTAACTGCCACGCAATTGGCAAAGCCTTCAAGGTGGATTACAAATTTAAAAACACAGATATCTGTAAAGTTTTTAAGATAAAAACTTAAACAATAGTGACAGTAATGAAATTGAGCACTGAATCCAAGGTGGCTGATTAATTTAGCTCTTGCTGTCTATTGCTTCTTCAGCCTTTTAGTTACTCTAGTATCAACTTTTAGAAAAACATTTCAAGCATTGGGCCAAGAAAGCGTTCTACTGATGCTTCAGGAGCCCTGTATTACCTGGATCATTGTACTCATGTGCCTTTGCCATCATATAATCTTTGCTCCTGTGGAAATGTAATTTTAAATCTACAGTGAAATATATTTTCTAAAATATATTTTTCTGGTCGTGGTTAATTTTTGAAAACTTGTATGCTGTGCAGTGGTATTTGATGCTTTTCAGCGCTTTCTTTCATTAAGAATATGCAATATTCAAATGCAGTTGTACTTCTATTTTGAAATGGATTGTGTCCTTATTAGACAAATTGTATCTAAAGATGTTACTGTGAATGTATTAGACTGTACTGAGACTGAAGAAGATTGTGAGGAAATTTTATTTATTTATTTATTTATTTA